TTATTATTATATCCTGCCTTTTTTATATATAACTCAAGGCAGTGAACACATCTAATCCTCCTGGTTCCCGTTTTTTCCAGAAAAACAACCCTGTAAGGTGGGTGGGGCTGAGAGAGAAGGACTGGTTCAAAGTCACCCAGCTGGTTTTCATGTCTAAGGAAGGCCTAAAACTCACAGTCTCCTGGTTTATAGGCCAGCATCTTAACCATTACACCAAACCAGCTCTCTAACCCATTCCAAAGATTTCCTGTTTGCAGCTAAGGGGAGAAGCTTCTGTTTAACATCCTGGGAGCAGACACTGATCAAGCAGATACGAGGCAAAATACTATAAAAGCAATGAACACCGTTCCCTATTTTCCAAACCATTCCGCTATATTCTTCACAAACACAACCAACACCAGAGGACTGACTTTATTTATTTATATATCATATTTATATATCTCTGCGGTTTTCCCACAAACAGGGTCGATAACACCCAAGCCTCTAGGCAACTATGCTGGGAAATCAGTGATGGTGAAGGCAAAATATTAGAATGCGGATTGCATTCTTTCAACTTCTATCAACTTTACCTAGCAGGCAATGCTGGTCTTATAGAAAAGCAATGGAAAGACAAAGCCTACCAAGATCTTACCAGGAGCACTTACCCAGTCTAGTCGGCAGTCACCCACTGAACCTCTTCGCCTAAGGAAGAATTAGAACCTGGGCCCACTTCTAGTCCAGCACCTTGGCTACTACCTTGGTCTGAGAGGGAGAGACTGGCCTAAGTCCCCTGGAACCCCCCATGGCTGAGAAGGGCCTCCCTGCACCTAGTCCAACACCTTCACCACCACACCACATTGAACATCTTGAGAGCAAGACTGATCCACGTCCAAACATGTTCTTAATCCAGAGATATGGACCTACTGGGAAGGTCATATCTTGAAGAAAACCCCCTGGGGCAAAAGCTCTCCCAGCCTCCCATCATGCTCTGTATGATCCCCCAAGAGTCCACATTCAAACAGCAACAGAATGGTACTCTAGCGTTATAGTGTATATCGAATGAGAAGTTCTTTTCTATTACCTTCCAGTTGGTTCGCAAAGTCTGCTCCTTCTCCCGACATTCTCGGAGAGTCTGTTTCCAACAGGGAAAGTCTGAGATTTGGTTGTCAGACAGATAACCTTCCTGTTGACAAAGCCGGAACCACAGGACTTGATCTTCAGCAAGTATCTTCCAAGCTCGGCTCACCTAAAAGTAGAAAAACAAATGCTGGGTGGGGATAACATTCTCTCTGAAACCAGAGGTAGAAAACACAATGCTCTCAGTGGCCAGGGTATCCACCACCCCAAAACAAGGCCTGCATGACTTCAACATTAATATTAAAATAGGATTTAAAACATTCTTAAATGCAAGTTCATCCAAGATTGAAAGTTTACAGGATATCGTAAAAGGTTTTAGCAATCTTGGGCAAGATTTTGCACTTCTGGCACAAGGTTGCCAACCCACCTTCAAGGCAAATCATCTGGCACAGAAGTAAAATTAATGTTATGTTCTCAATGTCCCATCTGAGATTTTTGTTACATCTTTTACTGCATCAGGCATGGGTGAAATTGAGCTGACCTCCAATTTAAACATTCTGCTCCATTTTCCCCTTAGATTCCAAGTATTTTTGCCATTCTTTTACCACCCAGCAGCACAAGAGGCAGGAAGCAAGAACAAAGTAGATCTGTAGGTTCAAACTGCATGCGTTTCCTGTCTCAAAGTGCTGCTAGGCTTAAACAGGGAAACTCTGGAGCAAACCAGCCAGTGTATGTAATTACTGTAAGTTCTGGCAAGACAACATAAATTGCATAGCTAAGACTTGGAATCCAAATCATTGGCAGAAATTTCTTTCTGTCCCAAAGGTTAAGGCCCAACTTTATTTTCTCAAGGAATTCACACTGAAGGCACCCATATCTCCCTGGATTCTTAACCTCCAGTTTGTTTATATTTTATTTATTTTATTTTTTATTATTAAATTTATATGCTGCCCACCTCCCCCGGAGATTTTAAAGGCAGAATAGCAGGGAAATGATTCCAAAACAGCTCAGAAATAAACAGGTTTGTGCTGAAAAACAGTGCAGAAGAAAAGTGCTAAAAAAAACAAGCCCCGAAGAGTTTTTCCTGTTTTTCTCAAGAAATAACCATGCAAATAATAAAGGGACTGTTAGAGAATAAACACAGCGAAGTCCAGGGCCAGGGGCAGAGACAGGCAGGAGCAAGTCTTGAGAGTGAAACTCAAAGGCTTGAGATTGGTTGCCTCTAGTTACAGAGACAGCACAGCCGAGGTATGAAGTATTTCTATGAAAATCTCTGTTATGCAAAAGAAGCAAGCAAGCCGGCCTTCCCACACAATGGCTCCATCTACATATACAGCCTAATGAGACACTAACGTGAAACAGACTTCAGCCTGCAGGTAAAACATGACATTTTTAATCTCTCACAATAAATACATGCTTGCGCTGGGGAGAGAGAGAGGGTATATTTTCCTTGCAAATAAGAAATGAGCACATTGGGGAAAAGATTCTTGCCCAACAGGTCCTCGCTAGACAAATTTATCTACATGTAAGAAATTCTTGTGCAAGGCAGGAAGGCGATTGTTTAAAGCCTAGGATACGGGCCACGTTTCTGCTCAAAGTTGCCACCAAATTGAATCGTTGGTGACACAGAGAAAAATCGAAAATACATGCCTGTCCTGACCACACCCGCTTTTTGCAATATTGGGCTTGGTATTCAAATGGTCACATGGGACTATGGGCTTGATCCAAACTGCCGACCTATGATATAAAAAAAGTTCAACTCTTGGGGATAACCCAGACACACACCTAGAAATGTTTTGCTTGTCTTTCTCCAGGGTGTTTTGCTAACTTCCCATTCTAGCATTCCTGGTGGTCTCCCATCCGTGTACAACTCAGCACTGACCCTGCTTAGTTCAGTCCATTGGCCAAGCTTGGCTAGATGTACAGAAAACACACACTTACAGCAAAATCGTCCGTCAGTCCATCTAAGTCTGCTGCTGCAGCGGTAGCGGTTCTGCTTTAGTGCTAAAACTGTGCCCCCCGTCGGACAGATACGCAAACTGGACATTCAAGAAAACTCTTCTGCCGGTTTTTCTTTTTTAAAAACAACAACACATTTTTCAGCATGGAACAGTTCCATGCTCTGCGTGTTCCTACTCGTGGGCTGTGGCTTTGTTTTAAAAAATGATGCCGCTGTATGCAAAGAGGCAGCTGTTTGGCAAGAATAAAACACTCTGGAGGGTTTAAAAGGAAACACTCCTGTGCCCAGTTTCGACCGGAGGGCATTTTCACTGACAAGGCTGAGATTTGTCAACTTAGCGGTAAACAAGAAGATTTGCCAACTGCGGCTAGTTCGAAACTAAGGCTGGGGCGCTGCAGGAGAATGGAGAAGAGAACCTTTTGAAGTAACTTTCTGGGGGCGAGGGGGCAAATTTAAGTGAAAGAAGTGCTTTCAAGAAGCACCATAAGAGGTCCAGGTCATGAAGAGGGGTGTGTGTGTGTGTGTGGATGAAACAAAGATGCTTTATCCCACTGTGATTTTAATCAGGTTACTGCTAGCCCTGCAGGCTTATCACGCTGAACTTTCTGAGGACGACTCAAAGCTGAAACGGGCCATTAACATGCTAGAAACTAGCACAGCCAAGCCGACTGAAGCATTGTCAAGTGAGGAGCGGCTGCAAAAAGTCCCTAATGGAAAATGTCTTAAGCATGCCACTTTATCGCACTGCTGTGAGTGGCTCCATTTAACACATGTGTACACACGCCTTTGGCTTGGGTTCAAACCCCGTTGCTCTGCTTGAGATGACAACAGGTGAGAAGCTCAGTGCCAGAAGATTTGAAAGAGACCCCCTTGGCTATATCCATGCTCTGAGCCTCGTAGTGATGGAAAGGCCGGTGAAAGCTTAACCAAGAGGCTCAAAGCAAGAGGGGTGGGTGGGCAAATGGAGACCAAACAGAAAAAAAAGCTGTCATTTTTCCAGGCTGCTGCATCAACTCCCCCCAGGTGTACACCTGAATGGAGCCAAGGTTACGGAGACAAGAATCCGCATGACCGCGGGAGGGTAGCGACCAGGTAAAGGGAAGAAAGAAGGACCTCACTCATCGATCAGAGAAGTAAGACCTTTTGGGGGGCTAAATGAAGCTGACCAATATTGCTGCCAGCTTTCCAGTTTCTAGAACCCTTGATCAGTTGAGATGGTGAGAAAAAAACAGGGAGGGGGTTCCGGAAAGCTGACATTGTACAACTAAATAAAAGGAAATCCAGCATGGGGTAGGGTTAGGAGACCCAATTTCAGCTACAGAAGTTCACTGGGTGAGTTTGGGCTAGTCCCTCTCTCTCAGACCAAGAGTGGTACAACGATGAAGGTGCTGGACTAGAAATGGGAAGACCTGGGTTCTAGTCCACCTTCACTCACAGAAGCTCCTTCGGTGCCTGTGGGCCAGTCAACCTTTTTCAGTGCAGCGTCCCTCAAAGGGCTGTTGTTGTAGGGAAAAACTGGAGGAAGGTGTGCTGCGTATGCTGCCTTGAAGTGAAAGGTGGGATACAAATTAAATTAATTAATAAAAGATATCGATCAGCATGAAATTGCTGGCTGAAAGATCTTTTCTGCAGGATCAATACTGTTCTGTTATGGTCTATGAGTTTGTTCCCTTCAATGAATTCGCAAACATCTGCATAGAGACCCTGCACCAAAGATTACAAGACCCCACATAATGGTGCCTCGTGGTAGCTGAGGATTCCGGCATTTGGAGGGCACCAAGTTGGGGAGCACTGCTTTACAGCCTGGTTCTGAGGATAAAACTTCTCATTTTAGTGGGATGTTGGCAAAGGCTTCAGTAAAAAGAAACAGCAACAACTTTTTACTGTCATTCAGAGATCGCTAATTCCTCAGAAAGGAACAGCTTCACCAGACTGTCATGTTCAGAACAACCTTTGGAGCCATGCCATTCCCCAATTTATTCAGCAGGAATTGCATTAAATGGAATGGATCACAAATCCACCTCAGACTGTAAGATTTTGAAGCCTGCTTTGAAATAATTCACTCTTGAATTGCATCACCTATTATGCTATTATGGCCCAGGTCCAAGGACATAAATCAAGGGAGGGCAAGATGTGGCCCTCCAGTTTTTGGACTGAAGGATTGCTCATCATCCCTCACCATCATCCTGGTGACAGCTGGAATTCAGCGACAGTATGTTGTCCACCTCTTATATACATAATTCTGGCTTATTAATCAGCACTGAGTTTGGGCTCTCTGGTTCTGTTGCAATGGGGAATTTTGCTTAATGCAAACCAGAAAGAAATATCACAGCACACCAGGAGGAAAGTGAAGACTCAAGGGAGGAATACTCAGACCTCACTAATTTCTGGCTCCGTAAATCATTACTCTGAAGTCTTCCAAAACATGTATCTCTTTGATGAATTTCAACTTACAGCTGCAAAGTCATTCTCATCCTCTCCTCTATTTATCCAACCATTGTTATATATCTTGTCCTCTTTACAGCTACACCTGGAAGACTCGGCTTTAAAAAATCCCAATTAAGAAACTACAAACAGAACACTCTTCTCAACTAAGAAGCTCTCTGGAGCTTGATTCAACACAGAGATTCTGAATTTTCTTCAAGAAAGGGCACAGGCAGGTTCTTGGAATATGTGAACTTGAAACATCTAACACGACAGAAGCTGCTCTTTGCTTTTCACAGCAACAAAGATGTAGTTCAAACAGGGTATATATGCTGGCAGGGAAGACACAGGTTTGCTATTTCTCTTTTGTGTGACAATCTCCGTTCATTTCTGCAGATTTCAAAGAGGGGAGTTATTTTTTTAGTTTTTGCTATCAACCAGTTACCACTTTGGCAACCAACCAAGCAAGAAAACTCTCTCTCCAGGGACTCCTCTGCTAAGCTAACCAGTCCCATTAACTACACAGTTTTATAAACTCGACTACCAATCCTTTTTTTTTTTCATAAAAATAAAAATCCATGACAAAGGCAATGAAAAGACAGCAGGGCATTCCATTTAGTCAAAAAACTATGCCATCGTTCAAAAATCAAAAGCACCAAGAGGAAAATGAAAACGGTCTTCATATTTATGGCTTTGCTCTTTACTTGATCGCTTTGGAAGTGGACTAAAAGCGTTGGCTTACCTCATCTCACTTCAAAAGCCTTGTAAAACCCTAGATCTTTGCTCAGCCCGCAACCATCTCCCAAATATCCAGGGACCGCTTCTACACACATTGTCCTTGTAGTGTACAATAATGCCATTACAAAGCGAATAAGAGGAAAAACTTCTGGGAAACTAGAGGCACAGCTATCCTGTAAAAGACAATCAATGCTGTAAGAAAAAATTCTCAATCTAACCTGTTAGGAGTCCATAAAGGAAATAGAACCCAAAGCCATAAAAAAATCTGTTTATCATCTTTTCCCTCCTTGCTCCATCACATGCTTTTGCTCTCGTTTTAGGATTTGGACCTGGAGTGACCCAAGCACACCTGCAAATTTTTCTGGGATCTTTATACCAACAACAGTGTACTCTTATTATTTCTTCACGGAAATAACGTCCTTGTCTTTTAAGATAAACTCTACTGAACTGAGCTGGTCTTACTTCTGTATAAATGTGTATGTAATATTGGTATCCAAGTCAGCAGTGCGAGGTTGTTATCTTAAAATACTGAAATATATACAGTAACATCTCTTGGTTAGTTTCACAGATACATCCAAAAGCAAAAATGTAACTGACTTTAAGATGAACATGAGTCAACAGCGTGAAGTGGTTACCAAAAAAGGCAAACACCATTGTAAACTGCATCAAGAAAAGGATAATTTCCCAGTCAAAGCAACCAAAATTTCCATTTTATTCTGTACGGATCAGTCCCCACCTGAAGTACTGTGTCAAATTCAGGATATCTTTAAAGGAATTTAGAGATGATCTTGGGGAAGGTATAAAAGAGCAGTTAAGGAGGGGTTTAAAGAAGCGATTACATAGCGCAGAGATTGAAACAAGCATGAGAAAGAAACTTAAAATAACATTGCTTTGATTTTGTTTAGTGTAAGATGGATCAGAGAGGAACTTGGACAGGCTTTCAAGATTCTATTATTACACCTACAACAATAAGATAGTATTCCTGGAATCCCTCCTCTGCCTGTTCCTTGACCTAGCCTACCTTGAAGGGCTGACATCATCTGAAAAGTTGGCCCAAGTGTCTCTCTGATCCATCTTATACCAAATAAAATCAAGGCAGAGTTATTCTGAGTTTCTTTCTCACACGTGTTTCAATCGCTGGACTGTGGAACCACTTATCCAAGCCCCTCTTTCATGGTTCTTGGTTCTTTCAGACCTTCTCCAAGGTCATGTCTAAGTTCTTTTATAGTGCCATGCTTTACAATGAATAGAGACAAGTTTGGAACATATTTAGAAGGCCATGACCAAGGAACTGGAACCTAAGTCCCATAACAAGAGATTCAGGGAATTTGGCATGTTTAGTCTTAAGACAAATGGGGGCGGGGGGCGCACTCATCATCCCAGAAACCAGAATAACAGTTACAGGAAAGCAGTTTCTGGCTGAATATTAGGAGAATCTTCATAACAATAAAAAGAGTTTGACAGAAGTTCCAATTTCTCAGAGGGAGGGTGGGTTTCCGTTCACTGGATGCTTTTAGAGGTTGAACAGCCTTCTAGCAGGAATACTTTAATCTAGAAGCTGGTGCAGAGCATGGGGTTGGACTGGGGGGAGGGGGGCAAATGACCTTTTCCAACTATATGATTCCATAATATATAGGTTAAACTATAAATGCTAAACCAGTCATATGCAAATGCAAAAATTCCTGCATACATATGAGGTTTTTTTCCCCCCAATTTCTGTTTATCTTAGGAAAGAGAAGAGGGGGGGAAATTCTCCAGGGCTAAAAATGTCAAATGAAGTTACAGCTCCAATCATAATTGAATGCCATTTTCTTTTGTTTGTTCCTTTTTCTCTCTCAAAGGCCTCACAGTATCATCACTCAACCATGCTGCTTTTCCTTATACTATGTCTTGCTGATTCAATCATCAGAAGCAGGGCAAGAACTCACCTGAGCACATCTCCCCAGCTCCATTCTGCCAAGGGACTGAAATATCTTTAATGCCAACTCGTAAGGCAACTGCACATCAAAAAAGGGAATTTCGTTTATTTCATTCTGAAAAGAAGCAAAGGAAAGGGGAAGAGAGGTTTTATTTCATTGCTTGCAAATGTTTCTCTCCTGACAATGATAGCTAAGTGATGGCTAAGTTGTAAACAGGCTCCCTACCTGAAGATGACCCTGACTCAGATGGCCAACCCATTCTACCTACCTATTTATACTCCCAATTCTCATTGTTATGACATATTTGGCTGTAACCCCATCTCAAATTATCCTAAATGGTTTTATAATTAACGTTTAACCCAAGCGTGATTCATATTGCATTATAATTTCAGAGAATTTGTTACATTTTAATGTACAAGGTTTCTCAAAAGGCCTAGTCCGCAAAGGTGGTAAATAAATGACAAAATAAACAAACACGTAACTTTTCTGTTCAGCAAAAGAACTCATAAGGGAGTACTGAGGAAAGTGAAATGGGTTTCCCAGAAAACAACAAATCAGGAAATTTCAACAGATTTAAAATTGGGTAAAATCTCACAAACAATTTAATTTTGTATGCTGCATAAATATCTCGATCCATTTTTCCAACATCCACAAGTTGCTGAAATATTTATTAAAGGAGGGAGAATCAATAAAGTGCATTTATGCTCCCCAGGGCTGGAGGATTTTTCAAAAAGTGGTTCACCTTGGGGGGAAAGATTTAACCTCAAATGTCCCCTCCAAGACCACACGGAAACTTTTACAGCCTCTGGTATCAGAGCTTCAAAGTTAGCAATGGTTTGGCCCAGAAAGAACATAACTATTTCTAGCAGGCGTTTTTGTTCCCCTGGCTTGACTGATTTCCAAGAATGGAACTGGACTGAATCAAAAGTACCTGAAATCTTGAATGCAAAGAAACGAAGACAGTTCCACTTCTTTATCTTTACGTGCCTTTCCTCAACAAGAGTGGGACAGGGAGGGGCATATTTCTGACCCCCCCCCCTTCCCTCTAAGGTTAACTGTTTCTATTATCTTGATTTTTGGGATATTGTTTTAATGGAATTGTTTTATTATTCTTCAGTGGTAGCTAAACCAATAATTGTTCTGTTTTCCCTTTCTCTTTTTATCACCAGCAACTAGTCATTTAGAGAGGCAGTACGGTGCAGTGGTTAAGGCACTGGATTTGAAGTGGGGAGGACCAGGTTCACCTCCACCCCCAGCCACAGAAATTCCCTGGGGGATTTTCAGACATTCTCTCTCACCTCAACCCGCTCCAAAAAGTGGTTATTGTGAGAAAAATTAGACAGAGTGTGTGTGCTATAATAACTATACAAAGGAAAGACATAACTGTGGCAAACAATGATATTATTTACCCAGGCCTTGGGGTAGGGCAAACAGGACACCCCTGTTGACGTTCCCTCTTTCGCTTTGTGTTTCGGTTGCCACCTTTCAATTATTCTTGTAGTTGTTTTTGTACTTTTCCCTTTTTTTTGTTTTTGTTTTTATGTTACTCTTATTATGAGCTGCCCAGAGTCAACTGGAGTTGGGGTGCATCAAAACTGAATAAATAAATCACAGTCAAATAAATACGTAATATCATTTCTCTACAGTGGCCAAAGATGGATAACCACACCTCAGTTTTGTGAGCTGGGTTATGAATCAGGTTCACAGAGCAGATGAAATCCAATCCGCGTTTTACACACTACAATCAACGTCCACCCGACACACTCAACCAAATGCAAATGGGTTGCATTTGGGTCCTGCTACAAATAAGCCTGTAAATGAAGTAAGCTATTTCAACTCAGAGGATTTCTGAGTGGTGTCTTTACCTTTACACCTATTGCAAGATCTGAATACCAATTACCAGAAAACACAAGAAAGAATGCAAAAAAAAAAAAAAGTGGGGGAGGGGTCTATCTTGTTAAACTAGCTGCATTTTCTTACTTTTTTTTTCTTTTTTTAATGTGATGGACAAAATCCAAAAGACAAACATTGGCATCTGCTCCTTAGAGACACACATTTACACATCAGCGCACTAATGGAGCTCTGGTTCAGTAAATGGATTAATTCACTGCCATCAGAAATTTAATCTGTGGCTTTTTAGGAGGAGAGAAAGAAAGAAAAGTGCAGTTATCCAGAATGGAGAGAAGCACACTCCTTTTAAACACTGCATATATTGCTTTAAAAAAAAAAATCTGTCAGAGACAGTTAAGGTACATACTCTGGAAAAAAATGCAACAGGCAATTCTTGACAGTGAAAACACAGGTATGAACATCATGTATATATTTCAAATCAAAATGAACACAGATGAGACTTAAGAGCATCACCGTAACAAAAAGACTGAAGGGGTCTTGAATGGCACCCTGGTCCCCTTTTGCAGCTACAGACAGAAGATTGTGATATTGCCATGATAGCACAATTCTCTGTTCCTACCATCCCCTGCTGTCATTGCTGAGAAAAGTAGGGGTGAAAATGCAAACTGGGGGGCAGACTACAGAAAGTCTTGGAGCCACAGAATCCCAAATGCTCTCATTCCTCTGACACATTCCCCCCTCCCCCAAAAAAGTGGAGCCATAAAGCTGTCTTTGCTATTTTCCCTTCCATTAAAACCCTTCAGAGAGAAAACAAAGTGGGGAGGGGGAAGATCACTCATTAATTATCTGATCTGGCTTGAAAACTGGCTATCTTCTCCTCTGGAGGTTTTTCTCACTATCTCTATCTGAGACACCGCTGACTAGCTTTCTTTAACGAAAGAAAAGTTTTCCTAAATTTAAAATAACATGCCCCCCCCCAAAAAAAATTGGTGAGAAAGAGCTCCCACTATGGTGATGCACTGCAATACAACAGTAGTATGTATGCAACAGCAAACTTAAAACCAGCTCCACCACAAACATGACCTGCTTCAGGCTCCCTGATCACAATGAATGAAACCTTATAGTGTAAGAAATCCTGTGGGAATTGTTAAGATTACATTTGCACACAAGAATGCACATCAGAGGAAAATTCTCACATGGGGTGGGGGGGAATATAGCATGAAGCAAGCCTCAAGATGCTCCAGTATAACGAGAAAAAGTTTCATTTAAGTGTTTTTAAAAAATACAATAACAGTACAGGCTCAACAGAAGACCATAAATAAAATATTCAGGGTTAAAAAGTAGTTAATAACTCAGAAAACTGTAAGAGCGATAGACTGAAAGTAGCCAAAATAGGGTGTCCACAGTAAGCAAAGCTTCAGATTAGTTAAATGCATTCAGCCTAGCTAGCCTACAGAGAGAAGAAAAGGGATTTTTGCCCCCTCTTGTGACAGAGGAACAGGCATTCCATCATACTACTTTAACTGTTTTCAAACACAGATAAGAACCACAGGGAGAAGAAACCGTCGTCTCTATTCTTGTTTGCAAAGTAATATTTGCAATGGTGCAAATATTCTGATAATGGAGGTGGTATGACAATTGAAGCACAAGACATTCAGTTACATGAATTACGCAGAACAAGAAAACAGAAATATTTGCATTTGCATTCCAATGTTTTGACTGACCCCTTGTTGAATTCAATTCTTTACTGATGACCTGAAAATAACATTAATGTCCCAAAGACACTCAGAGGATGCAAAATAAACATGAACAAAATTAATTCAAGATTTGCTCTGAAGTCTCAGAAGCAGGAATGGAGCAATGTATTTCGTTAAATAGGACGCCTATAAGATTGATTTGGCCCCAAGACTTCACTAGCATCAAGCCATTGTTCAACTGTTGTTTACTGGATGTATCACAATTTATAGGTTCACACAATATGCCAAACCACGAGCCACGGTTCACAAAGTACAATGTCCGGGTTCCACAATACCACAGTTCACAATGGGCCAGTGTGGTGCAAGCAGTATGTAGCTGAATTAGGACTAGGAAGATTTGGGTTCAAACCACGCAAAAGCCATGCCTCCACTGCACCTAACCATGGAACCATGGAACCAAGATCAAAGCATCTTTGGGTCACTTCCCAAGGCCATTACCTTCATTTTGTCCCCAGCTGCCTATGCTCATATCATCCTCAGCTACACTGACCAAGTGGTATTTCCCAACTTATTCCAACACCACTTGGAGGCAGCGCCCCCAAAACCTGTTGGGCGTCACCAGCTATTTGCTTGGAGGCCATCAGGGGACCAGGAGTGACTGCGAATAGAGGCAAAAGGGGTACAGGCTGCCAAAGGGGGACAGCAGGTTTCACGCCGATGTCGTTTTCCGACAACCCTGAGGGGTGCAGAGCCATGGGCTCTCGCCATCCCCACTGACTGACTTTGGGCCAGTCCTTCACTCCCTCAGCCCAACCAACCTCCTGAAGGGATATGGGGGACTGATTTATTTGGGGGGGTGGAGTGGATACTATCTTATCCCCCTCTAAAAATGTAGGCTGTCGTACGTAGTAATTAAAGGGATACATTAAAGGTAGCAAATACGGTATGTCCAATGCTCCTGTCCCAAGAGTCAGTGAGTCTGCCTGCCTTAAAGATCTGTTTTTGTTTTGTTTTTCCCAAGTCCTGAGTTTGGGAGTGGGTGAATTTTTTCCCCTTTTTTCTTTCTTCCAGCACTTATGCGTATCTATGAGGTTATTCTACGTTGTGGTTTTCTACATTTTGCTTTATTATGGGGTCCTTATTGGTTTTTACTGTTACTGAATCTTAATAATAGTTAACAGCAGGGCAAAAGACAGGGGGCAGGGAATAATGGG